CCAAGACAACTTCCTCGCGGGAAGCTTCCCCTCAGCTTCACTGACTCAGTGTGACGCGAGCAGCAACTGCCTGGCGGATGCGATGGCATGCAGCGAGGCGAGCGCTACGGCTGAGAGGGATGCAGATGCGTGTGCCATCTGCGAGTCGAAGGACGGGCAGGGCTTGCTGTGCTTCGGAGGGTCGTGCCTGCCGGATGTGGATGGTAGCACCGTGCATGAAGATGACATGGATGTCAGAATATTATGCTCTAGCCTGCAGTGGGGTGCTCTATAGCGAGTACAACCCTTCTAGGGTTAGCTATTTGTACCACCATTGTTGCTAGTGCAAACTCTCCTTTGCTTCATTCTCTCTTGCCTAGCTAGGTCAACCCTAGCTATGGCTCCTCATCGTGCTAGCTATCACGACATGCTATCAGAGCAGGACGATCCAGTTGGGTCGATCCTGTGGGTGGGCCCCACCACCTCAGTCTTCCGCTGCTCCTACTACTGTTTGTGTCGCACGCCCCGTGGCGTGCGACGGATTTTTCATCCCGCCGCGCGCTCGGGGCGTGCGGCGGTTTTCTCCCCGCCGTGCGCCCCGGACGCGCGGCGGTTTCCTGTCCGCCGTGCGCCCCGAGGCGCGCGGCGGTTTTCCTACCGTGGGGGACCCCCGCGCGCCCCCGATTTCCCGTCGCCCGCGGCCCCCCGTTCCCGTCGCCCGCGGCCCCCCCGTTCCCGTCGCCCGCGGCCCCCCGTTCCCGTCGCTCGCGCCCCCCCGTTCCCGTCGCCCGCGGCCCCCCGTTCCCGTCGCCCGCGGCCCCCCGTTCCCGTCGCCCGCGGCCCCCGATTTCCCGTCGCGCCGCCCTGGGGAGCCGCGCGCGACCCCCCGCTGCCCCTTCGCGGCGCCCTAAGGAGCCGCGCGCGGCCCCTCGCTGCCCCGTGGTGGCGTCCTGGGGGTCGCGCACCGTCCCCCTCGCCGTCCCCCGCGCTCCTTCCCCCGTTCCGCCCGTTTTAGGGTTTGGGGGTGAGGAGTGTGGGGGTGGCGGCTATGGGGGTGTCGGTTGTGAGTTACTCCCCCTGCTCCTCCTCCTCCCTCGTCTCCCTCTGCTACAGCTGCCGCTGAGGGGGGTGGTGTGTGGGAGCCTAGGGTTTGGGGTTTAAGGGGGGTACCGTGGGAGTGGAGCTAGGGTTTGAAGCAGGGGGTGTGTGTCGAGGGGTGTGGGACTGTTGGGGGAGATTGAGCGGAGGTTGCCGTCGTGTCGTACGCAGCGCCTGTACTCCGGGGCACTCATTCCCGGTAGCTCAGAGAGCCGGTTGCGCCGTCGCCTGTGGGTCCGTTGCTCCTGCCGCGCGTATTAGCCGCGGAGCCTGTTACTCCTGTACTCCGGGGCACTCATTCCCGGTAGCCACTGTGTCGCACCAGAGCCGTCTGTTGCCCGTGTGTCTGCAGCTTCAGTCGTCGCCTCCTAATCTACTCTCCTCTCGCCAGCCCTCCTCCTCCTCACTTGCCCTCTGTGACTGCCTCTAGCTTTGCTCATAATTGTGAACTTGAAACTATTGCTTCTTGAACTTGTGCTCAGAATGTGTGGTGACATCGTGATCCACCCTGAGCTTGTACTGCTTTGCTTGCTCTGCTGATTACACCCCACTTTGGCTATGGGGGTGTGTCAGAATATTATGCTCTAGCCTGCAGTGGGGTGCTCTATAGCGAGTACAACCCTTCTAGGGTTAGCTATTTGTACCACCATTGTTGCTAGTGCAAACTCTCCTTTGCTTCATTCTCTCTTGCCTAGCTAGGTCAACCCTAGCTATGGCTCCTCATCGTGCTAGCTATCACGACAATGGACCCTCCTGACATGTACTGTGTTGGTGAGTCACTTGACTTGGCATGGGCTGGTGGTCAGACGTGTCACGTTGTGGTGAGTCATGATATATTCCAGTAGTGCGTGATTCATCACTGTGCGGCATCATGAGAGATGATGTCTTGGGGAATAACTGACATGGCTATACTATACGTACCTATCCATCTCAGCTACGTCACTGCCCTATCCATCCATCTCTACTCTCATCTTTATCCGCCCTCATTCCTCTCCACATTCTTGCCTTTCTCGCTGCCACTGCCCACTGCAGAAGTACCAGCGCTCACAATTGATCCTACCGATGGTGTGTGGGGGAGTCCAAGAGACATGATTTTGCTCAGATGGATGTTATCATGCTGTGCTGTGACAAGTCAATTCATTACACATTGGCGAATGTGCCTTTCGAAGTTCAGTGTGGTATGCTTTCTTTGACTCCATCCACCACCATCACTCCATCCTGCCAACCCTCGCCCCTGCCCATCCCCTCTCCCACTATGTCAGTCACTCATCACTGAACCTTCCTCTTTCACCCATCTGTGCTCCTCCCCCCTCCCCTCAAATCATTGCTCCTGGCCCCTCACTCACACCCCTCACCCCAACCCTCACAGCACAAGCGCTTCTGGCAGTGAAGAGCGCGCTGGGGGTGACCTTCACAACGTGGGGGGTTGGCAAGCAGTGCACCACGAATTCTACTGGGCCGGCCATTGCAGGCACCCTCACTGGCGTGTTCTGTGACCCTTTCGGCAGAGTTCGCACCTTGTGAGTCCTCACCACTGCATGCATGTAAATCTTCCAGAACACTGCTTCTGCTATTGCTGCTATTTCTTCTTCCATTATGGATCATTCCTTTGTCAAGTTACTCAACTAGCTGCACCATCATTCTGCCCTCCACACCCACTCTGTTCCTTGCATGCAACCAAAGCGTCTGAACCTTGCAGGCACTCTTCCTCGTGCAATCTCCGATCTCACAGCTCTCACTTACCTGTAAACTTGTCTTGTTGACTTGCTTTGTCAACCCCCATGTCATGACACACCAACGTTGAACCTTGTTGCACTCCTATCATGTTAGCACATTTTTCACAACCCCCTTTCTCCGAGCTTCCACACCCATCTCCCTTTTGATCGTATCACCCTCTTCCCCATTTCTTTCACACCATCTCTCCATGTTTCGCCTCTCCCTTTACTGCCAGTGATCTGAGCAGCAATCTCTTTCAGGGTCGCCTGGATGACGTCGTCACACACCTTCGCCTTGCCACTGCCCTCCAGTCCATGTGCGTCGTTCTGACCTCACCACCTGTGCTGCATGCATCTGTGATTTCAGCAAATTCTCTACCAGCACCTGAGCCACCAGATACAGATGTCTTTTGTCCCTTGCATTTGTGTTTTGGCGTGCTGCCTTGCACAACAGCAGAAAATCAGAGAGCATTGCATGCCTCTTCCAATCCACATGCCCTTTCAACCCACCCAACCCACCACCCCCCCTTCTCCCCTCCCCCACTCTCCTTTGACTTGCAGCAACCTCTCATACAACTGGTTCTCTCACACCGTCCCTGGATACCTTCTCGCTCTTCCCAATCTCTCCAGCCTGTGAGTTCCTACACATATACTCTACTGCCAT